CATACATACATACATACATACATACATACATACATATATATACACATATACATACATACAAACATACATACATACATACACAACTGCCTCCTTCCATTATTTGAAAGACTGAAAGGGTCAAATGATATTTAAGGGAAATTAATCCTTTAATGACCTCATTCTTGTTACATCTGAAATGAAGAAACATCCTTCCCAGTCCTATGTTCTGTTTCCAACCTCACCATCACATATTCTGCTTGTGTCAATATGTGTTGCCATAACAAGTATTGAACGCGTCTCAATATTCTATACCCGTGATGGCAAACCCATGGCATGTGTAGCAGAGGTGACATGCAGAGCCTTCTCTGTGGGCATGCGCACCGTTGCCAGCTGCTCTTCTGGTTTCCGGACGGCCAGCTGGTCTTTGTGAGTGATGGAATGCCAGAAAAATGGCCTGAAAAATGGCCTGTTTTGGGGGGTGTTTCAGGCCAAAAACAGATCAGAAAACAGTCCGAAAAACAGCTAAAAAACAGGCATGCGAACGCTGGCCAGCTGGTCTTCGTGTTTCTGGTGCGCTGGTGCGTATGCATGTACCGGAAACCCGATCAGGTTATGGCGCTCTGGCACATGCATTCCGGTTTGGGCACTTGGTGCCAAAAAGGTTCGCCATCACTGTTCTATGCCATTTTAGAGGAACTTTATAACCCCTTAAAATTCTATAGAAAATTGCACTTGCAGTATAATTTTCTATTTGATTACTGTAATCAGGGACAAATTACTCAAGGCAAAAAAACTCAATTGTCACTGAATTTTTCTAGTTTTAAGTCTGTAATTTATGCAATAATTTCAATAGATACTTATAAAAATTATAAAGTATTTATTTTACACAGTGGTTCAAACTAAGGAACACAGAAGTGCAAAAACAAAAAAAAATATTTTCCCCTCCCTGATTTTTGGTTACCAGGGATTTTTCCTTCTAAAAAAATTAATTCACCTGACAATATTTTATAGCAGAATCTATTTTCCTTCATTTAAAAAAGCCTTCCTTAGAAAATAGGATTGTATACAGAAATGGAATTAATATAAAAATGTACATTTGTATTTCATATTTTAAAAAATATTTGGGTGGGTCAACATACAGCATTAAAACTTCAAAATAGTTTTGAAGACTTTTTTTTATGGAGTCTGCTAATGTTCTTTTCAAAGCTTACGAAAACAATTTTAGATTGGAATGGAAGAGATTTGTTCATTATTCCTTTTGGGGGAAAGTGTACAATACATTTGTGCTCATCCACATTCATATAGCAAAATCAGTTTAATAAGACACCAAATACAATATTTTACATTGCCATTATTTCCATATATACAGCATATGTCCTGGGTGTCCCATATTTTTATAAACCTCTTGATCTGGTTTTAAAGGTATATAACAGTTTGTCTAAAAATCCATATATATAATCTGTACATTTATGTGCAAATTCTCTTGATGAAATAATGAAAATAGTGAAATCGACAGATGTGGACGCCAAATTACATGATGTAAGTACCATCTTTGTAGTACTTCATGGATTCCATTTGTTTTGTCATTGCAAGGACATCATGGAACCCTGTACTGAGGCCAGACATATGCTGAAAATAAGCTTCTTTTTCCACCTGGATAGTCAAATTGTTAACACCAGAATCTTTCAGAACAGCTGATACCTAAACAAAAAATGAACAGTAAAACACAAACATTAATTTTTTAGCAAAACTCTCTCTGAAGATCTAAGGGAGATAACTATTCTTAGACAAGAAATATTACTCTATAACCTACGCTGTAAATCTTCTGCATGTGAAAAAAATACATTTTCTTTAAAAGCGTCTTTCTGGGCAGCAGAGGAATGACTTGTTGTCTCAGCAAGTCTAACCTAGGATTCTACTTTTTCTATTAGCATAATATGCACAAAAATACAGTGAAAGCACATTGTGCCCAAGATACTGAAATTTCAACTGGAAAACAAGGGAAATGAATTGTACTGTTCAATCTCAGCATCATTTTTTAAAGGGGCAAGGAAGGAACAGAAAAATATATGCATTAAGCAAATTACATATATGTTATACTTATTTTTTAATGTAAAAAATGGATAAAGTTTTCCACAGTTCCATCCCTGCCTCATCTAAATCATCTTATCACTGCTACACCTGTTGGAAACTTTTGGAGGCTTGGAAATAACTTTGAAAATGAATAATCCCCAGACCAAGATTGCCTTCAACAATGCCCACAGAGGGGGGTTACATGCAAGACATGATGAAATCACCTGCCAGTTTAAACATTCTA